AGGAGCCTTCCAGGGGATGGCCACACTACAATCCCTTCTCCTACATTTTTCTCTTGAGATTTTTGGTGTGCATGCACATGCTCCCAGCTTGTCTTTTAAGCCACTGGGTCTAGGATTCTAACCAAGAAGTTGGCTGTGTGGGATCCAGTTGCCTTCACCACACCACCTCCAGAAAGCCATTATTTAAAGTCCTATACATATCTTCATAAAATATATCTGATTTATGAGATTAGAATATAATTTACTATACTGAACTATATTTTAATTTTTCCTTAGGCTTCCAGACAAGCTGCAGGAATTCCAGGGATTACTCCAACTGAAGAAAAGTAATTGCCTTATTTTCCCCCCATTAAATAGAACTACCTATTTTTAGTATCAAAATTAAGCCACAGTTTTTAGCTTACTCATCTTAGTTAATTCCTTTGTTAATTTTAAATTTACCTCTGGGCATATGACCTAAACTTTGTTAAGAATAGAAAAGAGGGCCATGTAACTCAGAACCTCTCATTGTTTTCACTTCCCTTTGCCAGAGAAATCTGGAAATAAAAAAACAAGATTAAGATAGAGGGAGAGAAGAAAGAAATTGCCAGAATTGATGTGATGATTTTCATCAGCCTATGATAATATCCATTGTTATCCCTGAATGAAAAAGGTAGATCATTTTCCAGTGTTTAAGGTAGACATTCCCTCTGTAGTTTTCTTATTTGGTTTAAAGTGCTATGAATTTTCAAACTATCAGACAAATTCATATATAAACATAACTATGAAAACATAGCAAAAAGGCAAATTTAATTGAGTTTTGGATTTTACAGTAATTTGAATTTCATGAACCTTTGCTCTTACCTGTTGATAATTCAAATACAACTATTGTTTTTCTGATTTTTCTAAGTTAAAGTGATAATTTTGTCTAATGTTGCTCTTTTCTCAGAGATGGTAATCTTCCAGATATTGTGAATAGTGGAAGTTTGCATGAGTTCCTGGCTAATTTGCATGAGAGATATGGGCCTGTGGCCTCTTTCTGGTTTGGCAGGCGCCTGGTGGTTAGTTTGGGCACTGTTGATGTCCTGAAACAGCATATCAATCCCAATAAGACATGTAAGTTTAATTTTCTTTTTAATTAACTCTGAGTCTTACCTTTTTTTTTTTTTTTCCCCAAGTTTTTGCCATAGGGCTCATGTGATTCCTGGGGAGAGAGACACAGAAACTGGGAGGGAAAGTATGAAATCACTCCCCAGAGAGGATGGCCATGCTCCAGTCCCTTCTCCTCTGTTCTCCTCCTGGCATTTTGGGCATGCACGCATACACGCCTGGCATGATTTTGAAGCTGCTGGGTCTGGGATTCAGACACCAGTCAGCGACATGGGAGTCCAGTCCCTTCCACTGTGTCACTTACCGTCCCCTGATCCTTACCTTTTAAGAATAAATGTTTATAAATAAAGAACTATTAACTGTGTTCTTGGTTAGGTATAACCAACATTTATTAAATGCTCTATAATATGTCCTTAGGTGTTGTACTGAATGAAGTCTTTATTGTTAAGACACAATACCATAAAACAATTTTTAAAAATTTGTGTATGGTAAAATTCCAATGTATATTTCAATCAGATTATTTGGGCATGAAAAAAACAATTCCAGAGTAAATCTGGAAAAATATATTGCCAACTAAGAAAAAAAAAATTTTAAGAGTATTAATGAAGGAAATACATGTGTCATCAGATAGTACAGTATATTATAAAGGTAGATTAAGGTATCTTGTACAGTGATAGTACTACACAGATTGATGGAGTATGTGGTTCAGAAGACAAACCAAGTATATATGATAAAGACAGCATTTTATGACAGAGGGAAAAGATGAATGGTTTAGGGAAAACTGGTTATCTATTTTGGAAAAAAAAAAAAAGAAAACTCAATCCCTACCTTATTCTTTATATTAAAATAAATTCTTAATGATTAAATTAAGAAATTATAGACATAATAGAAAAAAGTTAAATTTTTTGGTGGGGGCTGGGGGAGAGAATATAGATAAATCTTTTCTTCCAATGACTTGAGATCTAGGAACCATAAAGCACAAATGAGTAAATTGGTCTACAAAAAATGAAAAGTTTCAGTACAGTTAAAAAAAAATGATAAAGGATGAAAGAGAGCTGGGAAAATGTTGGCAACATATTACTACTCATAACAGATAATAGTTGATTACCTTATTTCTGTTAACTATAAAAGTTTAAAAAAGAAATGGAGGTCACTAGCTGTTTGTGTAGTGGTTAAGGTAGCTGGATGCCATGTGACTGACTGCATGGTTTGAGTCCTGGATTCAGTGGCTTGAAAAAATGGTGGGTACATATGTGTGCATGTCTAAAACTCCAAGAAGAGACTGGAGGAGAAGGGATTGTAGCATGGCCATCTTTTAGGGCGTGATTTCTCATTCTCTCTCTCTCTCTCAGATGAGCACACACTTCCTATTGTAAAACTTAAAAAAAAAGAAAAAGAAGAAAGATAAATGGGAAAACTATTTACCATAGATAATCGGTGGATACGTAGACATAGAGGGAATAAATAAAAACTAGTAAGACAATATAGTAAAATGTGTACATGTATGTATGTATATGTGTATACAAAAGCAATATAATCATTAAAAGAGGCAAGAATTAAGAAAAAAGAAAATTGTAAATTCAACTAAATTTTTTAAGAGAGATTTTTGCTATGGTGCACGTGTGCTTACCAGAAAGACAGACAGACAGAAAGTAAGAAATCACCCCACAGAGGGAATAGACACGCTGCAGTCCCTTCTCCTCCATTCTCCTCTCAAGATCTTGGGCATGCATGTACACACACCCGGTGTGAGTTTTAAGACAACAGGTGCAGGATTCAAACCATAGTCAACTGCATGGGAGTCCAACATAACCATTATGCCATCTGCTGGTCCCCAATAATTTTAACTGTAATAGTTGACAACCCTACACAAATTTATCCAGCTTGCTTTAAAACCAGTGAAATAGACTTTTTTTAAAAAAAGATTTTTTTTTTTAACTTTATATATTTCTTTATTTTAATTTGACCATAGAGGGACAGAGTGAGAGAGAGGGAAAGGGAGAAACAAGCTGCCAGGTCCACGACTTGAACTGTGGTCAGCCATGTGGGAGTCCAGTGCCTTAACCACCATGCCACCTGTTGCCCTCTGAAATAGACCTTTTTAAAATCCAAAGATACTGTATTCATATAAGTAAAATATCTATGCAAATCTTAATGACTTAACAGTGGAATTCTCAGTCAGGAAATCATATTCTTACAATTTAATTAACTATGTTATTTTTTTTTAAAGCACCCCAGGGGGAATGACCATTCCGCAATCATTTCTCTATTTTTTCCTCCTTTGTAATTTTGGGTGTGTGCACAGACCCAGCATGTCTTTCAAGCTGCCAGGTCTAGGACTTGAACCACACAATCAGCTATGTGGGATCCAGCCACCTCAGCCATCACACCCCTAACTGGCCCTAATTTGACTTTTGAACTGTTCATATTCAAAAAAGACAATTTGTGCCAGTCAGTGGCATGGTTGTTAAGGCGACTGGATCTTCCATGGCCAACTTGAGCTTTGAGTCCTGTATTCTAGGGCTTAAAAAACACACCAGGCCGGCAACCAGCAGTTAGCGTAATGGCTATGTCGCTGGACTCCCACGTAGTCGACCGCGGTTCGTGTCCCAGACCCGGTGGCTTAAAACTCATGCTGGGCACGAGTGCGTGCCCAAGATCCCGAGAGGAGAATGGAGGAGAAGGGATTGCGGCGTGACCATCCCCCCTGGGAGGTGATTTCTCGCTTTCTGTCTCTATTTCTCTCTCTGTCTGTCTGGCGAGCGCACGCGCCCTACAGTGAAAATCTCTCCAAAAAAAAAAAAACAAAAACAAACAAAAAAAAACACCAGGCCCATGTGCCTATGTGCCCAAAATCTGGAGAGAAAAATGGAGAAGGGATTGTAGTGTGTCTATCCCCTGCCCCCACACTCACATCTTTCTGGCATACACACATACCCTATAGCAAATTCAAAAACAAAAACAAAAACCCCTAGAAACATAAGAAAAGACAGTTAAAGAGTTTTAAAAATAATTGCTGTGCTTTCATCTATAATCCTTACCTCCCTGATTTCTTTGTTGTCTTCCTAGAGATTTTTAAAATTATTTTAATATAGAAATATTTGATTTGTTTGTTTCAGCGGACCCTTTTGAAACCATGCTAAAGTCATTATTAAGGTATCAGTCTTGTGGTGGGAGTGTGAATGAGAACCACATGAGGAAAAAATTATATGAAAATGGTGTGACCAGTACTCTGCAGAACAATTTTGGTCTCCTGCGGTGGTGACTAATTTGGTCTGGTGGTCTACAGTATAGATAATAGTGTATTTTTTGACTGTTGCTGTTCCCTATCTTTGCTACTCCTCCCTGCCTCCCTCCCTTCCTTTTGTTCTGAATTGATTTATTTTTTTTTTATTTATGAGAGAGGCACACATAGGTATCTTCAACAGGATCTTACCATACCCTAGGGCTTGTACCACTGCAGCTGGGTCACTACTCTTTTCTTTTTTGAGAGGTTTTTGCTATAGGGCATGTGCACTCACCAGAAAGAGAGAGGGACAGAGAGACAGAAAGCAAGAAATCACGCCCGGGGTGATGGCCACGCCACAATCCCTTCTCTTCCATTCTCCTCTTGGGATCTTGAAAACACACACACGCACACACACATACACACACACACACTCGGCATGAGTTTAAGCCACCGGGTCCAAGACTTGAACCACGGTTGACTGCATGGGAGTCCAGCCACATAGTCATTATGCCAACTGCTGGTCTCAGGTTACTACTCTTTCATTATTTGTCTCTCTAAGCTGTTTTTATTGTCTGAAATTTTATAACAAAGCAAAGCAAAAGAAACCAAAGGAAAATTTGAGAATATTATATGAGTAAATAAACAAAAACAAAGAGCAAACACAAATGTTAACATTAAACTTATTGTAAAAGTTGGAGTGATGGGAGTAGTGAGAACCTGAAGGGTTTTTTTGTTTTTTTTTTTTAAAAAGAATTATTTTATTTAAATTTATTTATTGTTTATTTATTTATTTATTTTTGCCATGGGGTGTGTGCGCTCGCCAAAAAGCCAGAGAGACAGCGCGACAGGTGAGAAAGCAAGCTGCCAGATCCAGGATTCCAACCATGGTTGGTCAAGTGGGAGTCCAGCACCCTTAACCACTACGCCACCTGCCAGCCCGAGAACCTACAATTTTTATATCAATTTATTTGTTCTTTGTTTTTATACTGTATTTTTAAGCCAGTGTTTCCTAAAACACAGTCTGAACACACCTGAAACTCTCCCTCTTGGCCTAGTGGTTAAGGAACCAGCTCCAACATGGTCTGCTGTGCAGTTTCAATTCTGGCTCTGGTGGCTTGAAAAATACACTGGGAGGTGTGCGCATGTATGCCCCAAATCCTGACAGGATGGAGAAATGGGGGAGAAGGGATTGTGGTGTGACCATGCCCCAGTAAGGATGCTCTCTCCCCCTTCTCCATTTCTCTGTCTCTCTCTATTGCATGCATATGTCAAAATTAAAATAAATAAGTAAATAATGCAGTAAATAATAATAAATGTCAGTTATATCAGGAAAGCTATCTCTGACCATGTCACCATTCCTAGATAGGTCCCCCTTTTATTTATTTATTTTAAAAGAATTCTGTATTTATTTTTATTTATTGTTAACTATTTTTAAAGAATTATTTATTTTAATTTTATTTATTATTATTATTGTATTTTAATTTGATCAGAGAGAGACCAAGACAGATAGAGAGAGAGGGAAAGTGAGAAAGCAAGCCTCCAGGTCTGGGACTCAAACTGCAGTTGGCCATGTGGGACTCTGTTGGCCTCATTACTATTATTTTAAAAATTTGCTATAGGGCATGTACATGCATGAGAGAGAGTGAAAATGAGAAAGCAAGCCACCAGGTCTGGGACTTGAACCGCAGTCGGCCACTTGAACGCAGTGGGCATCCAGCGCCTTAACCCCTATGTCACTGCCAGCCCCTGATAGGTCTCCCTTTTAGATGTTATCATAATATTCTGTGCCTTTCCTTTATAACTTTCCAGTTTGTAATTACATTTTGTGTTATTTGAATTTCTGTCAATAAATTATGTGCTCATGATGGTAAAGACTACTATATTTTGTAACTTTTTAAAAAATTTATGTACCTATGTCTTCCATGAACATACATAACAGTCAGAGAGAGAGAGAGAAGCAGTACCACTGACAAGGTCTGAATGCCATAATCCACCCCCTAGCCTTAGCCAGCCTAGGATTATGGACAAGTGTGTGCTGAACATACTCAGGATGGTCTCAGTACTTGAACCAGCAACCTTCCCATGTGGAATTGACTTGAAGAGCATGATGTTTTACCACTGTGCTACTATCTGGTCCCAGACTACTCTATTTTGAATATATTGCTGTATACTTGACACATGGTATATAACATATCCCCTGTAAATAAGTGTTAAATCATTGACTGAATACTGATCAGTGTAAATATTCTTTATTCTTTGATTCACCTCTTACTGCTATAGGTCAGTCCTTGCTATTTTCTCCCTAAAACATTTTTTCCAGCCTTGCTTGGCTTCTTGGTTTTTTGTTTGTTTGTTTGTTTATTTTGTTTTTTAAAAAAAGCTTTTTGCTTTAGGGCTCATGTGCTAGAAAGAGAGACAGAAAATAAGAAATCATGTCCCAGGGGGGATGACCATACCATAGTCCCTTCTCCTTTCTTCTCTCAGGATTTTGGACATGCATACACACATGCCTGACGTGAGTTTCAAGCCTCTGGTTCTAGAACTCAAACCGCAGTTGGCCTTGTTGGGAAGTCCAGCGACAGAACCATTACGCCATCCTCTGGTTCCTTGTTTGACTAACTTCTGATCCAACCTCTGCTTAGTTAGCTATGCTTTCTGTATGCACCTTCTCTAAACTTCCATTACAACCTAAATATACTTACATATCAAAGTTAAGTTAATTCTCTTATCTCTTCCTCCTTCTTAAATTGTGTTTTACTTCTTTTTTTCCTAATCTTTGTGCTTCATACAGAGCTGTTTTGTTGTATGTTTGATGTGGCCCTTGAGAAATAGCTTTATTGTATAGTGCAAAGACTGCTAAGCTTGGGCATCAGTTATAAGAGGCGTAGCTCCATGATCATTTGTGTGTTACTTGACCTTTATGAGTTTTTATTTCCTCTTCTACACTTGATAATAACATCCACATTACAAATTTGCTGTGAGGATTATATAGGATAATGATGTAAGATACCTAACTAGTAATATCTTAAATATTTTTCCAGAGGGGGAGCAGGTAGCATGGTAGTTGATGTGCTGAACTCCTAAATGACTGACTACAGTTTGAGTCCTGGACCTAGTGGCTTGCTTTCTCATGTTCTCTCTCTCTCTGGTCAAATTAAAATGAATGAATTAATTAATTAAAGAATTCTTAAAAAAAATAAATAAAAGAAATATCTTTTCTTCTCCTTTGTTTGAGTAGTAGTTTTTCCTGATATTTATTTGCTGCTTTTCCCTGATGCCCCTTGCAGAGTCTTCTCTTCAATTAATATTTCTCCTGAATTATATTTTCATTTTCCTCTGAAACTGCATCTCATTATTAATTATTCCAACTTGACTTGTACATTCCCTCTTTATACAGGTCTTTACAGTTGACGAGCCCACATCTGTCCCATTTAGCAGGTTACAGTGAAGTCCCTTCTATTCTATAGAGATTCTGTTCTATAGAGATTAAAGCCAATTCGCCCACAAATGTATGAACATACCCCATTTCCTCTTACACCATATAGACCAAATAATTTTTTATATAATGGAAAATTTTAAAGAAACTAGGATGGAGAGAATAGAATAGTGGTGAACCATGTCCCCATTACCAGGCTTCAAAAGTTATTAAATTAGACTCCATCTTATTTTATTTCTGCCCCTAGTTACCTCTCTTGTCCTCTCTATGGATTATTTTAAAGCAAATTCCAGCTATCATACCAATAAGGACATGATTTTTAAAGAGCCTAACAGTATTTAGTATATAATAGTCACTTGGTCAGGTTTTTTTTTTTTTTACTAAAGAATTAATTTATTTATTTCATTCCATTTGTCATTATTATTTTGAGCAGAGAGAGACAGAGATAGAGAAAGGGAAAGCGAGAACGTAAGCCGCCAGGTCCAGGACTTGAACCGCGGTCGGACATGTGGGAATCCAGCACCTCCAACCACCACACCACTTACCAGCCCCACTTGGTCAGTTTTAGTCTTCTTTTCATTCTTCTATATCTTTGTTGATTTCTCCTGAAAATGTTCTTACTGCACATTATAACCACTTTTGTAACTTTTTTTAGTTATAGAAATAATTAGTAGTTTGCCTTATTGACTTACTGCCTTAAGAGGTTGCTTTATTGACTCTTTACAGTATTTACTTTTAAAAATTACATTTGGGATAGTGCTACAGTAATGAAACTAGACCCACATGAGAGAGATCCTAAGGTCACATCCCTGGATCCTCGAGTATGCAGATGTATGCATGTGTGCCCATAATCCAGGCCTGCTGAGACTGGGAGTGGATGGCAGTATAAGTACTCTGTTGCTTGTCTCTCATGCTAATGAAAGAAATATATAAATAAACTTTTTAAAATTTACATTTAGTAAATGTTTAATGCCATATTTTCCTTATCAGAATTCTATTTAAGAATTATTTTTTAACTTTAATTAATTAATTTTAATTTGGCCAGAGAGGGACAGAGCAAGAGAGAGAAAATTCATGTGAGAAAGCAAACCGCCAGGTCGGGGACTCCAATCCCTATCATTGTTATATTTGAAACACACTCTCTGTTCAAGACTTGAAACTGATTTGCTGAGTTCATCATAAGCATTAATACATTGATTCCTCTTTGAAGAGTTTGGCTTCTAAAAACTAGACTGAATAAGACCTTTAACTGTGGCTGACTGCTAACTTGTCTCTCCTTTCCAGCACCCATTTATACCTGAGAAGCAAATATTCACACGGCTATCAGGAGACTCTTGTACCCAAATTCCTTGTAATCCCTTGTTGTCTTCTTGGAAGCAGTTAGGTTGCCTCTTTCCAAGCATCAACAGTCACAGTCTTCTTTTATTTTATTTCTAATTTTGCCAGAGGATGCATGCACTTACTCTTGAGGGAGGTTGAGAAACCAACCCCCATGGAGAATGGTCATGCAGCAGTCCCTTCGCCATTTCTTCCTCCATTCAGGATTTTTGGGCCTATAGCATGTTTCTTAAGCTGCCAGATCCAGAAATCAA